AAGAAGAAGAAGAAGAAGAAGAAGAAGAAGAAGAAGAAGAAGAAGAAGAAAAACTAAACAGAGTAAATGAATCAAGAATAATGGCCGGCATGTAACAGTGGTTGGTGGATTTTTTAGACTGATCGGTCAGAGTTCTAGGACTTTCTGAGAAAATGCCATTGTGGTGTAAACCAGTATGGAGTGAATGAGTCATCTATGAGAAGATCTTTGGGGAAAGCATTTCTGACAGAGAGAAAGGCCAGTGCAAATGTCCTGAGGCGCAGCTGAGGCTGGCTTATCTGAGGCACAGTAAGGTGATCAATGTTAGTATGGAGTGAGTGAAGATGAGAGGAAGTCGAGGCAAGATTGTTCAAGGTGCAGATCATTGCAAGGAGTTGGGATTCTTGTCTGAGAGTCAGGAGGGAATGGGGAACACTTAAACATTTCAAAGATAGGAGTAGTTTCCTCCTCTTCAGAAAAATTTTGTTCATCCATTCATCAAATAGGTATCTATTCTCTATGAAGTGCTAGACATCATTCTAGGTTATGCTTATTGCACTAGTTATCAACCCACTATAGCCCAGACACTATTTTGTTATCAAGATTCTAATGACATGGGAGACCAGGGGGAGTTGTGTTGGGATGAACCCTAGAGTATGATCCACATCCCCCTATCCCACCCCCTATTCCACCCTCCCCTTTCAGCCGGGGCTACATAGCTACATGGGTCTTTCAGGGAACTTACTCAATCTCTTGGAGCTGCATTAGACAGGCAAGCCATCAATATTGGCAAAGAGTCAAATTCCTCTTCACATATCCCCTCACATCTCTCCATGGGCACAAAAGGACCTAAATAATTAAAGTCCCAGAAACAGCCCTAAGTTGTAAAAATTCCTCCAAGGTACACATGCAAACTTATCTAGTATTTGGAGCACTGTTTGGACTTACACTTTTACAGAGGTATCCAATGATGCCTTGGTTATCTTGATTTCTTTGAATATACGAGGGGGCCCAGTAGACCCCTTTCATCACCATTCATGTAAACTCTGTGCAAGGAAAGGAACCCAGCCATTAAAATGCATGTTAAAGAAAGGTGGTATCCAAAAGACACTTGAAAAGATTCTTGACATCACTAATCATCAATGAAATGCAAATCAAAACCACAATGAAATATCACTTTGCACATGTCAGAATGGCTAATAGCAAAAAGATAAGAAATAAAAAGTGTTGGCGAAGATGTGGAGAAAAGAGAATCTTTGTGCGCTGTCGGTGGGAATGTACATTGTGCAGCTACTGCGGAAAATAGTACGGAGTTTCCCCAAAAGATAGAAATACCACATGATCCAAGGGCACCTGGGTGGCTAGTTGGTTAAGTGTCTGCCTTTGGCTCAGGTCACAGTCTCAGGGTCCTGGGATCGAGTCCCCACAATGGGCTCCATGCTCAGCAGGGAGTCTGCTTGTCCCTCTGCCCCTTTCCCTGCTCACTCTGTCTCTCTTTCTTTTCTTCTTCCTTTCTCAAATAAATAAATAAAATCTTTAAAAAAATAAAAAGAAATACCATATGATGCAGTAATCCACTATTGGGTATTTGCCCAAAGAAAATGAAAACGCTATTCTGAAAAGAAATACAGCCCTTTTTTAATTGCAGCATTATTTACAATAGCCAAGATATGGAGGCAACCCAAGTGTCCATTGATAGATGAATGGATAAAGACACACACACACACACACACACACACACACACACACACAAAAGCACACACACACACACACAATAATACACACACACACACACACACACACACACACACACACAGAATATTACTTGGCCATTAAAAAGAATGAGATCTTGCCATTTACAACAACATGGATGGACCGAAAGGATATTATGCTAAGTAAAATAAGTCAAACAGATACCATATGATTTCACTTATATGGGAATCTAAAAAACAATACAAAGAAAAGAAAACAGAAAGAGAATCATAAACACAGAGAACAAACTGGTGGTTGCCAAAGGGAACGGGGTTGGAGGATGGGCAAAACAGCTGAAGAGGAATAAGAGACACCAACTTCCAGTTATAAAATAAATAAGTCACTGGGATGAAACGTACAGTATTAGAACTATAGCCAATAATGTTTTAATAACATTTTATGGTGACAGATGGAAATTGTGCTTATGGTGGGCACAGCTTATTGTATAGAATTGCTGAATCACTAAGTTGTATACCTGAAATTAATATAACATTGTATGTCAAGTATAAAAAAAGAATGTCTACATTTAAAAAAAAAAGTAAAGGTGGCATTTTTATGGCATTGATTATATTTGGCTGAAAGATCCAGAAATTTCCCAATTTATTCTCTCCATCTTCCTGAAAGAGCTACTCATACAAGTGAAAATAGTTATGTGAGAATCAGAATAATACCCAATTACTGTCTGGGCCAGTGTCTAATCTCTCAAAACAGAACCAGCTAGTAAAAGCTAAGTTGAAGTAAAAGTGGCTTGGGTTTAAGGTTTCAGTGGGATTTCTTGACTTATGCCTTAGCTTGAATCCAAATCTGGGGATCTTTCTAACTTCTGGCCAACTCCAGGATTGAAAGTAAGCTGTGGTCAGGATAATCAGGCATGGTTCAGGAGATGACAAAAGAGACAAGGAGCACAGACAGGGCCCCATGCACAGACGCGAGTACTTAGCACACAGCGAACCCACCAGAAACAAGATGAAAAAGTTGTCCTTGTCTAATTAAAAACAGCAACTTCCACAAGGGATTTAAATTTATCGTCTATCTTGAGCATTTAAAGAAAGCATGGCTTCAGGGGAGCCTGGGTGGCTCAGTCCGTCAAGTGTCTACTTTCGGCTCAAGTCATAATCTCAGGGTCAGGGGATGGAGCCCCACATTGGACTGCCTGCTCAGCGGGGAGCCTGCTTCTCCCTCTGCCCGCCCCCTGCTCGTGCTCTTTCACTGTTTAAATCTTGAAAAAGAAAATGAGCAACAATTTGGGACATATGGCTCTTACTGAGATCTTGATCTTAAATAAACCAACTAGATATTTTAAGGAGTTAATCTCTGTTAAGTTTTTAAGGAATATAAGTGCAATGAGCAACTATAGTTTGCTTTGAAATATTTGAAATGGGGTTGGAGAGGGCTTTGGATGGGGTTCTAAGCGAAACAAATTACCTATAAATTGATACTTGTTGAAACTAAACAACAGGTATTCATAGTGCCTACTTATATAAAGTTTTGAAATTTTTCATAACATAGAAAATGAAAAACTACAATTTGCTTGGGTTCGTATAACAGCTTTTTAACCAGTCAGCTAGTCTCCCTCTCCCTCTGTGCCCTCTCTCTGTGTCAAATAAGTAATCATCAATTTAAAGTACTCAGTTTATGAAACCACTTTTATTTCTGTGATTAAGAAGTCAAAGTATTGTACACTTGAGGAACTGACTTTTGGGTACTTTAAATTTCATATACCAAACTTGCTAAATCAGCAAAGATCAATTTTTTTTTTTAATCAAAGTCCTGATGGCCAGCCCTGAATCTCCAAACTATTTTACTGCCAACTAAAATGATTATTTGCCAACTTGATTCGTAAAAGAAAGTTTTACTTCAAAAGTATAAAAGTATCTCTAGGTGTGTTTATGTCAATTTTAATGATTAAGATAGATTTGGCGTCACTGTCTACGATACAATACATCAATACATTTGAGTTATCTTTAGTGACTTTGGCATAATCAAATCGGGACTTTGACTTGACTTCTGGATAAAATCCATACAATCAACCCGGCCTATGCAGTTCAGTACCACAAATAGTGACTGCGAGTCTGCACCACACAAGGCCAACGAGCTCTGAGGTCGAAAGGATTAGAACCAGTTCAAGAGCGTTTTGGCTTTATTTCCTATGTGGTTTTGAAAACTTTTGCTTTGTATTGTGAAGATGTACTTACTTTCAATTCTTTTGATCAAATGGGGTGTAGCCTGGGAAACATTTTCTAAATCTACAGTCGCACCTGACTAGTAGTGCCCCGAAGAGTTTCAGTGGCTTGAGAAAACAGAAGAGTGTCTAGTGGGAACAGCCCAGAGAGAAAGATTAAAATCAGCCTACCCGTAAAAACAAAAAGGGTTGTTTAGTATCACTGTCTCCAGGAGTAATTTATCTATACCCTCCATCTTCCTCATTGGTCTCACTGTAAAGAGAGGAATGGGACCAGTACCACCTGCGACCAACGACTAGCTGCTCTGTAAGAAAACCATGAGATGTTTGAGATCCAAATTTCCATCTCCCAGTTCAAATACAGTTCCTGAGCGCAAGCCATGCATGAGAAGAGGTGTCATCCAAAGAAAAACAAATACACACAAAGAAAAACAAATACACACCAAACACATACACACACACACAAACCCTTTCTCTGAGTTCGGATGAGAAACTGATAAATGCTAATTCAAAACACAGTAAGCACGCCTCAGAAATAATATATTTAGAAAAACACCCCAAGCCCACATGATCTCCTACTTGTAGAGACTTTTGACATTCTTGTGTCCAATAACTAGTTAAGCCATTATTTTCTTTTATAGAATTAAAAAAAAAAGGTCACTTACCAACACAACCTGCCCGTCTGTCGCATTGGCAGTCAGTAAGAAATTTAAGTACTTCCTCAAACATTCATTTCACTAGGAACTACATTTGAATGCTGGGGGGCGGAGAGAAAAGCTCTTTTATGCCATCTACTGAATCCCACTGAAGTTACATAGTAAGTATAAACTCATTGTCTTCTACTCACATGTAGCATAGGGTCTGGTGAGTTGACTGATAGACCTGTATTTAAATCGAATTTTTGTGGCTCTCTGTTTCACCCTAGTCAGCTCAGTCCGGTCTTGCCTCCCGATCAGTCCACTATTAAAAGTGACTGAGAGAGGAAAGAGGAAGGGTTCAAGATCAAAGTTCCGCTCAGACTCGTGGAGAGGGAAGATCATGTGCTGACACAGAATGGATGCCAATCATGTCTTTTTCTTTGAGAAATTGGTTTTCAGAGAAAATCTGTTTGCTCCAGTTTTTTGCCATTGATATTTTCAAACTTTCTTCAGAAAGTGATTTTTCAAAACTCCATTATGAAGGGGTGCCTGGGTGGCTCAGTGGGTTAAAGCCTCTGCCTTCGGCTCAGGTCATGATCCCAGGGTCCTGGGATCAAGCCCCACATCGGGCTCTCTGCTCAGCAGGGAGCCTGCTTCCCTCTTGTTCTGCCTATCTCTGTATGTGAAATAAATTAAAAAAAATTTTTTTTAAACCCTCCATTATGAAAAACTGTGCTATCTATCAGTCTTTTTTGTCCGGGAAGGTCTAAGACACCTCCTTTGGGTTATTTACCTGCACGCTGAGGAAACCATTCTGACAGCTCCACTCTTTTAAAATAGCAACAATAACAACAGACGGGCCAACAAAGCCCAAAAATGCCCACTGTCTGCCCCAGAACTTGTCCCCAGCCGAGGACTCCATGATGTGCCATCGTAGACTGGATACAACTTCTTGCTATAATCAGTTTTTTCTTCCACAGTGAGCAAGGCCAACTTCCCTCTCTGTCACTCTCTCTGTGTTTCTCTCTACCCCCCCTCCACAACTTAATAGGGGAAATGTGTCTATAAATATATTTCTGAAACTGAAAGAATGAAACTCCTTCTCCTCCATGTCAACCGTTTCTTCTCTCAGACCCCTAACAGGAGATGAGAGTCCTCTTTGACTAAGAATTCAGCTTCTGGCTCCCAAAGATATTTGATTTTGTGAACCGGGTCTAGAGACGGGGCACTTGAGCATTCTAGAGTCCTGTAACTCCTCCCCACCATTCTCATGTGCCCACCTGCTTCTTTCTTTCCTCCATGTTGTCATAGGATGAACACACTTGTAATCGTGTCTACTTGGAATCGTGCATGGATCCACATGTCCTTAAAAAACCTTTAATATTCTCAAAAGCAGTTGAAGTAGTCCTAGCCATCCTGCCATTACCTCACCCTCACAGGAAACAGAGCCAACTGGCCAGTCTGAGCTCTTGAATGACTTTGTGGAGTAGATACTACTACCTATACTAGACCTCCAGATTATGTTTGACTTACATTTAAGAAAGAAAGAAACTTGTATCTTATTTAAGCCCCTGTGTTTGAGGTCTCCTCATTCTGTACCTTAGCCAACACAATTATAGAAAAGGACATCTGCCTTTCTACCTCTCACCCCTGGTCCCTACATCAGGTCTGGAAGAGGGAGCAGCAGGAAGTACGTACCTCAGACCGTGTACACCTCCTGTACATGCGCCAAGATTGAGCTACAAGCCCTGCCCATGATATGGAGAAAGGAGATGAGCTTTAGATGGGGATGAAGATTAAAATTTTAAAACTAGATTGCAATATTAATACCTCAAAAGGACTAGAGAGCTTTGAAATCTGCTCATCACTGGGAGGTTAGAAGGGAAGAATTTCAGAATCCAGTTGGCTGAATGGGGAAAAGTAAAAACTACATATTTACACGTGACTCTCTTGAGACTTCTCATAAACCAACGTTAAGTAAAAACTTCTAAGTCCCTATGGCTGGGGTGCCTGGGTGGCTCAGTCAATTAAGCATCTGGCTCTTGGTTTTGGCTCAGGTCATGATCTCGGGGTGGTAGGATTGAACCCCACATGGGGCTCTGCACTCAGCATGGAGTCTGCTTGGGATTCCCTCTTTTCCTCTGTCTCAGCCTCTCCCTCTGTTCTCTCTCTCTCTCTCAAAATAAATAAATACGTCTAAAAAAAAAAAAGTTCCTGTGATTTTGGACTTCTGGCCTCTGAAACTGTGACAGAATCAATTTCTGGTGTTTTGAGCTACCCAGTCTGCACTATTTGGTTATGGCAGTCCTAGGAGACAAACACATCCAGGAAGGCTGCCAGGTGGATGTTTTCTTTGCTCACAGCTCCCTTTCAATTCCAACTTTGTGTCCACTGTGCCCTCCTCTTGAAGGGCCACCCCAGACAAAGGCTCAGGGCCTTTTTGCTGCCCCAGCCTGGCCCAAAACCTTTCAAGCCAGCAGCACTCCCTAATCATCTTTAGCATTTCCCATTCCTCCTAACCTGTCACCTTACTGAAGTACTTAATTTTTATTCTCATCATGGTGCTAACAACAAAGAGCATATTAAGATAAACTTATCAAATTGCAGCAGTGGATTTGGAGCAGGTAAATGCACTGAACAAATATGAAGGAAGGGGACATTCTGTTTGCATGGGGTTTTAAGATAAAAATGAGGATTTCAAAGCCATTTTATGCTTATGGCCATTCAGAGCTATTCATTCACCCAGTTAAGTTCTACTAAAGGTCTTCAATGAACCACACTGTTCTTAACACCAGGGATGAGCAGAAAAGAAGGGGCAGATGGTTCTTTTTCTTCTGGAGCTTATATTTTAGTAGACAGAAACAGAAAACAAGTAAACAGGATAACTTAGAGGGTTATGTGTGCTGTAAAGGAAACCAAAGGGAAGCAATGTGCCAGAGTGACTGGGAGGAATGCTTCCTTAGGTTGGGAATTCCAGAAGGTCTCTCTGAGAGATGACATTTAAGCTGAAACACGAATGGCAAGAACAAGCTAGCCATGTTCTGAAGTAAGAATAATCTCAACCAAGAGAGTAACAAGTGCCAGGGGACAGAGGGGACAGAAGTGGGACTCAATGTGGCGCATTGGGGAAGAGCCAGAGGCAGCTGTAGCTGGAGGGTGGTAAGCAAGGGGAGAGAGGAAAGAGATGCACAGGTGGTTCAGAGTGGAAGGCAGACCATGATGACAGGTCCTGAGGGGCTTGGCTTTTGTTTTAACCATAAGGGGAGGTCATTAGAAGGTTTTAAGCAGGGGAGTAGCTTGATACAACTTACACTTTAAAAACAATCCCTCTGATTGCTGTTTGGAGAATATGTGAGGAAAGAAGAAAAACAAAGAGGCCCGTTAGGAGGCCAGAGGTTCTAGATGGATCCTCCAGATCATATCTTCTCCCCAATACAAAAGTAGAAGGGACAAAGGAATCCAGACTCATTTTTCTTAGAGATCTGACCCAGAGTGGCAGTTTCCAGCTATATCCCACAACCAGAATTCAGTCACATGTCCACATCAAGCTGCAAGGGAGGCTGGGAAATGTACTCTCTAGCTGGGTTGTCAGGTGCTCCAAAAAACTCACACATTAATTAAATAATGGGTGAAGGGATGTTGGTGACGACTAAGTCTCCCTCACAAGATTTTTTAATTTATTGGCGTAGTCATCTGTTACAGACCAAATTGTGTCCCCTCCAAGACTGACATGTTGAAGCCCTCACGCCCCAGTACCTTAGAATGCAACTCTGTTTGGAGACAGGGATTTTGCAGAGGTAATTAAGGTTACATGAGGTCATAAGGGTGAGACCCCAATCCCATATGACTGGTGTCCTTATTAGAAGAGGAAGAGACACCGGGGATGTGTACACACAGAGGAAAGGCCATCTGAGGACACAGCAAGAAGGTAGCCATTTGCTAAAACTCTAAGACAACCAGAAATATCCTATTTGATAACCAGTTATAAATAAATGTGGCTCTGAGTTTCCTTTGTAAACAAATAAATCCATGGCTTTGCCCTCAACAGCCTGGGACTGAAGGCTATACAGTTGACCCTTGAACAATGTGGGGGTTAGGAGTGCTGACCCCCTGTGTAGTCAAAATTCTGTGTATAACATTTAACACCCCCAAAACTTAATTAGTAAAAAATCTGTGTATAACTTTTAACACTCTTAAAACGTAATTATTAATGGCCTCCTGTCGACCAGAAGCCTTACCAATAACATCAGTCAACACATATTTTATATGTTATATGTATCATATATTGTATTGTCACAACAAAATAAACTGGATAAAAAAGGAAAACATTAAGGAAATCACAAGGAAGAGAAAATATATTTATAGTACCACACTGTAAAAAGTCCATGTACGAGTGGATCCATGCAGTTCAAACCCATGTTGTTTAGGGGTCAACTGTATTGCCCTTTATATACATAAATTATTAAGTCATGAGTTAACTGGTTAACTACATATTTGTATGACAGGGTCAAAAATTTAATAATATACTCAGATGTGAACAAAAAAAACTTTATTTTCCATAACTGGTCTAATTTTTTCCCAAGCTCCAAAGTTGAACAGGATGACAAAGTTCACTCAGAGGACAGTGAAGCTCCAGAAGATACTCCAAGGACCAGGGTGCCTGGGTGGCTCAGTTGGTAAAGTGTCTGACTCTTGATGTTGGCTTGGGTCATGGTCTCAGAGTTGTGGGATCAGACACCACATTGCGGTCTGTGCTGGGTGTGGACCCTGCTTGGTTTTCTTTATATCCCTCTCCTTCTGCCCCCACTCTGCTTATGCACTCTCTCTCTCTAGAAATAAATGAAGAAAATAAAGAAAAAAAGATACTCCAAGGGCCACTGTGTACACTTCTGAGGTTGACCCTTTCCTTGCTGCCATGAAATCCCATAAATTCCTGTTCACACAGAATCCATTTGTGGCTGAAAGGAGAAGGGAGAGCAAGCGTCCTTCAATGAGCATTTACTCAAGAGTATTTCCATTTGAAACAGAATGGTTGAACCAGAGGACTGAGGTACCTATAATAGGCAAGTTTGAGCAACACCTCGGCCTCCAGCCTTGCTCCCTAGCTTAGTTCAAACAGTTTTCATTAAGTCTTCCCCAAATATGTAGAGCTAATAA